TAATTTGACAATGCCATGACCATTTTTATGTGTATATAGTGTAAGGCTGGAGTGTGAGAAAATTTCAATCCCTAAATAAAAATGTAAGCATTAAAAAAAGAAATACAGAATGTGAAATTATGCAATTTTTAAAGGCCCATTATGCCCAAGAAATGCTTTTATTTGTACATATAGTTTCTAATAAACTTTTTTCTTTTTGGTGTCTTGTTTTGGTTTCAAAAAAGATGCTGACATTTGCCCATTACTGTACCTGAACAATATTTTCCTTCCGTTGCTTTTTGGCATTATATTTAGTACAGTCATAGTAATTTAGTTTTTTTTGTATGGAAGTCAAAATACTACTTTATTTTGTCCTTTGCTTCCTTGTTATGACTTTAACAATATTTCACATATTAGGGCAGCAAACTTTCTTCAGTGTTTGACTCAGCAAGTGAAGCAATGTAATACATTTCTACATAAAAATCAATCTGCATTCCCCTAAAATTAAAGCATGTCATTGCTTATTCAACTACCATCAAAACATAATAAATTTTTCTTTTCTTTTTTTGGGGCATAATGTGCCTTTAATGTCTTCTTTTATAACAAACATGTCTTATTACGCAGATTATTCTTGAAATGAATGAACATGCTTTATCTTAAAGCACTCATTTTAAACTGATTCACTCTTTATATATTTATGATTTTTCATTTTTATAAATTTTTTATGATCATACTAATTAAGGCAATGAAAATACACTATAAACTATTAAAAACAAGTAATTAATTCGCTGTCATAGAACTTAAAAGCCCCTTATCATCAAATTATGTAACTGAATCTTAAATACAATACTTTAATATCAGAGACCTTTAAATAGTTATTACCAGTCCTGTTCAAGGAAGAGAATAATTACCATATAAAATGTTTTCTTCCGTAACTTTGTTTCCACTGACATTGATTTTATAAATACTTAACAAACTCTTTACTACTTTCAATTAAGATTCAATTAATGGAAAAACAATAAAAAGTTTTTTTAAGGATTTAAAAGCTTGCAGCATTAATGACATGTCTATATTATAAATGCCACCAGTGTACACAGAGAGGCTTGTTCGCACTTAAGGCTGTGTGGTCTGACCAGGCTCTGCTCTCTATACTGGTTTCACTTAATCCTTGACCTGCTGAATTTCTTAAATGGACTTATATATTTTTATATGGTCCAGATTCCAGTTTTAGAACTGTCTCTGTACATTACAAATTTTTGGGGATATCAGGATGCAAATTTGAAGTTGCTTAAGCCAAAGGTATACTGTATAAATGGACATTTCTGAAAGTCTAAAAGCTTGAGAATTTAAAATTCCAGACATTTCGCATGATTGTGGAAATATTAACAAATCATGCAAGGGTATAATTTAATGACAGGTTGATTCAGGTATTTACGATAGAGGAAATTTTAGCAATTTTTGTCAATTCACGAAATTCGCCAATATTTACAAGTCGCTAACTTAACCACTTTTACAGTAATAAAATCTGACGCGACTGTACCATAGAGCAGGCTGGCCTGACTGAGACTTTACTGGTGACAAAGACTAATCACTTCATGTTCCAGCAAAGGATTCTTATAGGGTTAATATACAAAGGGGGAAATTCAAATTCAAAACTGAGAGCTAGTCTGTAATACATGTATAAAAATTGAGCACCGTAACGGTTAAAGCTGATTGAAAACAAACTGTCAGTCTTTGGACAGCAGATAAAATTGTGACCATTGCAAAATTATTGCAGATGCCCTTTAATTTATCAGGGCTATAAAAGCAGTTTAAGTCCCAGTAACTTTAACATCAAAATAGACTCATACAATATATGTAAATTTATCTTTTCCACTGTGATAAATGTGCATTATAAAAAACAACAACAAAACATCATACTGCCAAAATTGGAAAAACTTATCTTAAATCCACAATTTCAAGTTTATTGAGGAAAAAAAACTAAAAAAAAAAAAAAACATACAAAAATCATTACTGCATTGTCAGACATAGGTTTAGTTGGTAAGGAAGAACTGTCATTAAGGGAAAAAAAGTATAAGAAATCAACATGAATTGACATATCGCACTGTTATAAAGACAAATAATACAATAGATGTCATATTCGCGAGTCGATTATCCAAATTTACTGTATGTCACAATACTATCTACTATTTTACATCTGACTCATGAAAAAATTTTCAATTTTTTTTTTTTTGTTCAACGGGTAATTTTATTTAATGCATGTAGAGATAATAGTTTACTTGTTTCGAGTCATTGTTCAGTAACCAGGAGTTACAACAGGCATGCCGCATTTGGCCTTGATTACAATCAAATTCAAAGATAACGTTTTAAAAACCGAGCAAACAAAACTTTTATTGTAAGATTTTGACAGTCTTTCGTATCTCGTGTCAAAAGTCAAGTGCGAGAATTAAATTGGCTTACGTAAATATTGATTGTATAATTCCATCTATATAAAATTGCCTTTAAAATATAAAGGATGTGAATATAATAGATGTGCCTAACACACACTTTTGCTTTTCATTTGTATCAGACTTAAGCTGCCTTTACAATTTAAGATAAGAATTTCTATTCCTTATCCTTATTCGTATTTAAATTACCTAGCATACAATTTTACTTACAAAAACATAGATAAAAACAATTTATAATAAATAACATTAAGTCTTATTTAGCATTTTAAATTTAAGCACTTAAATTTCCTTAATCTTTGCCCTACTTTTTTTGTCTAGAGAGAAGGCCTAAATTTGAATTTTTGTGACAGTCTGTTTTGCATAAACTGTCATATTGCTCTGAGGCTTTTGAGCTGTTTTAAATAGTTTTTTTTTCGTATAAGCATCTATTATTTAATTGATTTTGTCTATTCTAAGAACAATAATACAATAATAATCATACGCATTTTTTGCCCTTTGGCACTTATAATGTTTGAAGATCTTGTTATTGTATTCTTATGTCTTCTACATCAAACGCAACTATTATAAGTTTATCGAAATTTATATATTTTGCAACAAAATTACGTGTCTCCTAATCATAACTTTATGTATATGAAATGCTTTTTTTTTTTATAGGTAAACAGAGATATACATCAATACACATCATTATACTGTATAGTTTAAATTTAACACAGTGTCGCCGTATAGTATTGTATTTGTTTATGTTATCACATAAAATCGTACTTCGTAAAATGTTTAGAAAAAATATTATGTATTTGTCTTTACAGTACTCTTCTGTAAATGATATAACATGCATGTCTTTCTATTATCACTGAACTGGTTATATTTTGTATGGCTATAAACTTGTTATTTGTTTTATGCCAATAAAATTATTTGAGTTTTGAGTTTTGAGTATAATGTCATATGATACATATACATGTATTTCAGTTAAGAGAAGATCAGTTTTTGTATTCAATAGTAATATCTGGCAATTTATTTCACTGAAGGATTTAATTTTGTAACATCTTTCTCAATGAAAATATTAACTGTGCAACAAAATTATTGGAAATATAATTTAGTTTTTAACATCTGTGACAACAATTTGTTTAAATGATAATTTGAAATGACATCAACAGCTTGTATTGTACATGTGTAACTTAAATCTACCATTGTATTTTTAATGAAAGTAACATTCCATTTATAACTGAGAAAAAAGGGTTACTGGAAATATATTCATATTTAATCACCCTTTACACAAAAAAATTGAGAATTTTGACCCATTCTTTCTGCTGATTAATTGGTCTTTTCAGAATCTATTTATGTCACACAACTATTTTATTGTGTAAGTTAGAAAAAAAATTACCTTACACGGCACACTTAATCTGTAGTGTATCATAGATTTGCTATTTTTTAATTTTTTAATTACGAAGTTTTACAGGATTCCAGCTTTAATTATTCTTGCAAGTATCAAACTGATATTTCCAGTCATAAGCTAGAAAATTCATCTGACACATGGGGTGCCAGATGAATTGTGTGCTCCAAAATAACACCATATTAGTCCATTAAGGAATGTACAGATGAATTTATAAATTCATATGTTTCTACTAGAAAACATTAACAAATTTCATTAATGAAATGACACAAGTTTACATTGAAATTAAACTTATCAAGGTATACCATTTAAAATAATTGACAGAATATGCAAGAAAAAGTATCTGACATGTGTTTGAAAGTAGCATCAGAATATCTGTCCCATGGGTAAATAATCATGCCCACGGTCATGGGCCAGAATTTACCAGGGGACTGATTTTCTGATCCATACTTCAACATATGACAGAAATTTGCAATAAAATTTCAATAAATCAATCATGATTGTTACGTGGACTTGCAAAAATTGCAAATTAAATTCCTGATGATGATAATTTTATATTTATCCACTGTTACACCATCTGGCATTTTCCTCAATATCTTCAGAAAAAAAGTTAAGATTGTTTAATTTCTAATAACACAATTTAATTAAATATTTTACATAAAATTAATTTGGTGTTTTAAATTCATTTTTTTTAAATTTTACCCTACCAAGTACATATTTCAAACTGAAATTTACTCACAATTTTGTTTGTTTCAGGTTTATCCCATTTTTCAGTAGATCTAATACAATAAAAGTCCCTTGCAGTTTAAAATGATAAAATAAATATCAATATTTTATATTTCACTTACAGTCTTCATTTAAATTGTGCGAAATAATTCTTTTATAAAAATTTAAAAATTTGAAGAAAAAATTTAATAAATTATTTTTAGTGTATTTTTCCCAAAATGGTAAAAATTCTGACATTATTATTTTATTTTTTTCCAAAAAACAACCCCAAATAAAAAACCAAAAAAATAAACTAAACTAAACAAGACAACAGAAATATTACCATCGTTAGCTGCGTTAGCATCAAATCTGAACAATGACTCAAATAAGGCATGCCGAAAAACATCGCAAAATTTCCACAAAGTGTAATCCCTTGAAATCAATGACAAGAAATAATGACGGCATAATGGCACACTCACTTGTTTAACAGGCAATCTTTCCCGTGCTATCTCCTTCTTCAAACTGTATCATGCTTTCCTCTCTCTCTCCATTACGTGTATTGATCCTTCTTCGCAGCGTTCTCTGTCCTCGTCCACTCACAATCATACCAGTATTGTTTTCCTCTATCCCCACGTTTTCGTATTTTTTTCTCTCTGTGTGAACCATACAACAGTATATTGTGCGTTAATACGAGTTTTTTGTGACAAAATGTCACACTCGGTAACTGCTAAATGGCTAATTTTAACTGCGAGTTATTATCAATAATATATTCATATATTAATACAAATTTGCTGAGGAAAATAATTGCAAAAAATACAGCAAATAAATAAAAAACAATAGATATATAGTTACATATTGTGTATTAAAACATAACATGCAAATATTAGTCACTTGAAAGTTACAAGTTGTGTATTTCTTGTTATATAATAAGTATGATGTAAAATAATTGATTTAAATCAAGTCCATAGTCCAAAATAATAATTATTATAGTCTTAAATTGTTTTAAACCATCAAATGCATTGATTAAATACCCAAATTATTGTATATGTATTATATTACGAATAGTATTTTTTTTTTACTTTAATTTTTATCATTACAATCACTTAATAAAATTTATGATTTGTACACAAAAACTTAATGCAAATTTTACTTTAACCATGACTTTTTTTTCACAATATCTATGGAAAAAAACAATATTCTGAACTTAGAAATAACAACTTTTTTTAAGGAATATTGAATTTTTACCTTACCTTATGATCAATTTTGAAATGATTTGTTCGAAAAATTAATATCAATGTATATAATACTTATATTTTATTCTCCTACTGATAAATGTTTATGATGTTTTAAAACTTTATCCACAAATAAATTTATGAGTTTAAAAATACACTGAGAAAATGAAGTTAGATTTTTAAACGGACAAATATCTTGCTCAAAATGTTTGCCAATAGAATACAGCTTTATCTCTTTTATAAAAGCTGAATTTGTAAATGGCTTAAATGACTTAAATTACCTTAAATGATGGAATTTATGTTCATTTATAAAAATTATGATTGGAATTTGAACAAGTTTAAATAAAAACTGCTAACGTTTGACATATTTGGCTAACAAAATGCTTGTATTTATTAAAAAAATAAAAAAATAAATAAGAGTTTTGTTTCCATTTTATTTGAATAATTCTCATATGCCTATAAAATTTTAATAGATAAATCTATCAATGTATCCTATATTAGCAAGGACGTAGACATGACTCTTGACTTAGAGACAGCTATAAGATACATTAGGGAATCCGGGAACCTGAGTCCCAAGCTCTTATTGAATAAACCCCTTGGCTCTTTTACATGCCCAGTGTATAGCACTGATACATGTGAGGATTACCTGGGTTTCTTACCAGTACACCTCTAGGTAGGTGGGAAACACTGACAGTGTCTCTGAAAAACCCAACGGTGGTAACCCAGGATCAAACCCGGGACCTCAGGAAACATGAGGAAAAGAATCCTACATAAATATAAAACCATGTCTTCAGAAAGGACAACATTCATTCAAAAAGATAAGATGTATTTTGAATACAAATTTTTCTCTTGTTAATATTTGGAGAAAAAAATAAACATACATGCCATAACGTCCCGGAAATAAGGTGTCTGTCCCGTAGGTGTCCCGGAGATGATTTATGTCCCGGTAAAAAAAAATCTAAAATAATCTACTTTGAAGTAAGAAATTTTACATTTTTATATAATTTTATTGTCAAGTTTTTTATAAACTAGTCTAGAACGCTAATAACGAATGATTATCCCCTAACAGCATTGCAATGGTGACACTAATCCTTTGATTGGTATATCTACATGCCCCTTCCAACAAACAATTATCGGCAATAATTTTGATCAATTAAAAGATTAAATGTAACAACTGGCCAGAATAAATTTAATCCGCCTGAAGGCAGTTATTAGTGGTCAAACACCGTGAAAATTACCGCTAAATTTACACGCCTGGCAAACTGTCGCTCCACTTCAAAATTGTGGTGTACGGTAAAACCAGCGAACGGCATTTCCGAGATAGAGCGGAAGGCCGATTTAAACGCCTAATGTATGGCATAATACAGGATGCCACTTATTCGAGGTCACGTTTATATGTACATTTTAAAACGTGTGTCCGTGCAAATTGGACAAAAATTGAATATTTTCAGTTCTACCGCGAACAAATGTTTCCGAGCAGGTATGTGTAACACGATTGTTCACGCCAAAATGTTATGTTTTTTCGAAAAGTTTCTATTTACACTTTGAGAGGAAAATAAAAAAACTCAACAACAATGCAAAATAAGGGAGGAAGTATTTTGAAACATAACTGAAACACGTGTTATATCCTTATAACGACTGACACCTTGTCAACCATTTTCATAGCGATTCCTCACCTTACAAATTCATGAAAACGTGGCTTATTTGTGTTTGCTCTGAACATGTACGTTAGAGCTATTAATTACAGAAAGTCATTGTGAACTGAACTCGGTAGAAGTGATCCATTTCATTTAATGTGTTCCATGCATTGCAAAATTTTGTTTATGTTCTGCACCTTGAATATCTAATTTTTCGAAAAACATAACATTTTGGCGTGAACAATCGCGTTACACGTACCTGCTCGGAAACATTTGTTCGCAGTAGAACTAAAAATATTCGGTTTTGTCGAATTTGCACAGACACACGTTTTTAAATGTACATAACCGTGTGAAATATCATGATTGACCTCGAATAAGTGGCATCCTGTATTATGCCATGCATACATGTGTATGATTCAATGGTCGGGCCTCATCCAAATTTCAAACATAAATAATGGAATCTACACGGCAGCCATAGGTGACACCTTCGCGATAACATTTATTACGCTATAGTCGTTGAAATGATATCACACTTTATTAGTTGTCTTTAAAAGGTATATATATCTCGGTCTTTACACTTGATCATATCTATTTTAACTTCTATAGCTTTTATATGTAAAAAATCATAGACTACGCTCCTCCTTATACGTCAAATTAATATCGTCTTGCGCTCAACATCGAACCTTTTGCTCCATCTCTTGCCCTTTCGCTCCACTACTTTCGAAAAATATCGATTTACAAATTTAAGATATCCTTCAGGAGTAATTTATTTTGCACGAAGGACAAGTTCTTATTACGGGTTGATAATTTACTAAAACACTTTTTCAAGAAATCTGAAGGGTATGGCATTTCTATGGTTGGGAAGTTCAATATTCTACAAATCATCGTTCGCTTCGTCAGGGAGAAAAGTTCTCCCGGGCTTAATATAATTTTATTTTTGTAACAGCTTAGATCATTGGAAGTCTAAATCAATCCTACACGGAACTACATTTTCCGTTTTTCGAAAAAAATACAACTGAAATGAATAACAAGACAAAAACATAAACAATACTTACAATTAGGCGTTTAAATCGGCCTTCCGCTCTATCTCGGAAATGCCGTTCGCTCGTTTTACCGTACACCACAATTTTAAAGTGGAGCGACAGTTTGCCGGGCGTGATTTAAGGTGATAAAATCTACAAGATTCCGCGAATGTTTCAGGTAAACAACATGGCTAATTGTCATTACTTAACATAGCTTTATTCTATTCTGTAACTGATTGAATTAACGATTCCTAAATACTTAAAAAAGATAGAAAAACTGTTAATAATTATTGACATTCTGTCTTTTGTTTATGGTGTCATTAAATTTGCAAGTTGTATTAAAATACCGGTAATATAGGTTGTATGCCACTATGTAAATTAAAAAAAATATGTTTGCTGATCAATGCCCCATCTCCAAATGAAAAGTGTCCCGGAAATGAGTGTAAAAATTATGGCATGTATGAAATAAATAAAAAATTGTTAAAATTCTTTAACTCCTGTCTTACTAAAATTGATATTAAACGAAAAGTTTAAAGTTTGCTATTGTTTGGTATAATGTTAAAATTCTTAAACTGTTGTAGTACTTTTATTATGAAAGGTTTAAAGTTTGCCATTGATTAAATAAACCATGATTAACACATACTGACTCCAGGCTTACAGTTATATTTTAGTTGGTAACCTGGTGAGCATTAATCTATTGAACACTTAACTGCCAACTTACCACATGTCCTAAAATAATTTGTCACAGAAACCACACAATTTGTACCCTAACTTAACTTGTAAAGGCCTTTCTTAACTTGATCGGCCAGGCAAAGCAAATGCAAAGTTCTCCCTTAAATAAGATGATAAAGGCCAAGCAAAATTACTACCAACATTAAGTCTTTGCTTTATTTTGCAGTTTAAATTGAAACAAATTTAAACAAAAAATTTAAATCAATGTTTTACAATTTTTCACTGCATAAATGTAACTAAATATCTTTGTATTAAGATTTTTTTTAAATATATAAATGAACTCCAACGGAAGAGATGTTTAAATCATTAATATCTAACAAACAAATATAATTTATTAATAAAATCTTTAAAACAAAATCAATTTAAGTCAAACATCTGTTTTAAAAAAAGTGTAAAATGATTAAGAGACAGAAATTTTTAAGAAATCAAGTAAACTTACCTTGTTCTTAGGAATCCTGCATGCACTTATTCACACCGTTTTAACTTGACATTAGATCCTTCTAGACACTTTAAAAATAATAAACCATTCCAAAATTAGGCTGGCTCCCCTGCCAAGACTGGGACATAAATTTTACTTCAACATTATATAATCTTGGTCATATTTGTCAACCCTTGAAAATCTCAAAAAGAAAAAAAAAACTTGAAATTTATCTTCCTTGTGACAATTTTCTAATCTTTACTTCACTATTTTTTGTATAATGGGCTGTTCTACTTTACATTTTGGAACTGCTCATTGTTGTTTTAAGGGAATTCAATATCAAAATATCAATATCAAAATATTTAGATCAAGCAGCTCATATCCTAGCACAATCATGCAACCTAGTCAGTCATCATTATAGTACAGAAAAGTCAATTACACAGCTTAAACAATACTGTTGATATTTTGAGGTTATTTTACATTTTTGAGTACAATATTGAATTTATTGGACTCGATCATACATTGCTGTAAAACCTATATTGGACAAGAAGCTACCTGACAACAATTTTATCACTACAGTCATCATAATAAAGGCCTCTTATTATAATGAGACAGAAATTTATAAAAAGAGTCTCGGATATGTAGGAAAGATAACTTGCACAAGAATATTTAATTACAAAAGGTAGAGTTACATAGAATACAATATAGATTTGATATGGATTTATTGTACTTGAAAAAAAGAAAGATCTAGGTCTAAAATCGGATACAATTTGATTTATACTCTGTGTGTGTGCATGTGTGTGGTCTTTATTTTTACTTAAATTGTAAACTGAAAATAAAACAGATTGTTTTTTTCTTATTCAAATAACCCTGCATTTAAAATGCAAGACAGGGACTGATTATAAATGACTCAGCATTATCAGTTATTTTCAGCACTATTTTTTTGTGATATAGTTAATTGTAATCCTTTGAAGTTGAAAATTACAGAAAAAAAGCTCCTTTAAAATCAGTATCTTCCTGGTAACAACAAACAAGTTTGAAATTTATTAGCAATATCATTCCATTACACTTTGTTAAGACAAAAACACAACTAACAAAATATCCAAGCTGTAAATATTCTACACCCATTCAATTTTGTTTTATCTTTTATAACATTGCCTTTAAAAAAAATTACTGTGCTAAATTTTTGCTCTTGCTTTAAATTAATGGAATGCTTTTTTTTGGAATACCTGAGATTAAAACAGCAAAGTAATTAAAATTGGGCAGGTATACTCAAACAGGATGTAAAGGGCTCAGTGCCTGGTATCTTACCAAAAAATTCCTATTAAACGCCCCTGGGGGCTAAATATTTTCCAAAAGGATTTTTTTTATTAAAACACCGTTTTTTTTTTCCAAATCCAAAAATCATTGGGTGTTTATTAGAATTTTACAGTATATTTGTTATGATGATCAACTTACGGTATCACTGCATGAAGTCTTAAAGGGACTCCACTGAGGTTTTTTTAACATGGCGGGACTGGAAATATTTTTTCTAAGATTTATGTACAATTTGATGTACTACTGGTCTAAACAAAATTACTTGTGTGCAAATTTTCAGATCAATTTCCCAACCCATTATTCCAGAATAATCATTCTTGTTGTGCAAAATGACACAAAAAATAGAAGCGTTGCAAAGCTTTGCACTCAAATTGAGCTAAGAATCGCACAAATTAAATCAATATTCAATTCTGAGTAAATTCCTTTATTTGTTTTTGAAGATTTTACCATTAAAGAGCTCACTTGATCTATGTACTAATTTTAAATTTCATGTTTTTAGACTTTTTGACGTCAATGGTCAGCTCCTTTAAAGGGTCGAAATCATTTTTAAAGAGTTGATTTTTGATGCTGTTTGTTTTAAAATGGATAATCATTGTTTAAGTTAAAGACAAACTAACAATCATAACATGTATTGATTTGCAGAACAAACGTAAGTCAGAAGTCTACAAAAAATATTTCAAAACATTTAGTCTTAAATTTTGCAAGAATGTTACTACTTAGGAATTTATATGTACAGTGCATCATTCATAAATAATGAATACAATCTTAAGAACTAATAAATACCAAAGAAACATTAGTTTTTCAACTGAAGGAAACTTATTTGCTAAAATTGGACATTTTTCTGCGAATAATCATTTCCTAATTTCTAGTAATTATCCAATCAGCAATGGGTTACAATATCTGCTAGCAGAGGTCACGACCTCAATAACGTCTTGGAGGCAATCATCGGCAGCAGACGCCAAAGTGAATGACTTCACACATGCATCTTTTTATTCTCCATAATTGGGAAAATTCAATTAGCATATTCGCTGATGTTTTCCCCTAAGGTTTAGAATAGAAGTATCTCGAGAATTTGAACGTTGCCTTAATCATTAAAACTTTTTCATGTCATTTGCAGATGAAGGATGTGAATCAAACAAATGTTTGCATGTTGCAAAAGATGTGTGATAACTGTTCTCCATTAGTGAAATAATGCAAAGTTTTCAAACATTTCTTCTTTGTTCTTTCCGTTATTATCATCAACCAATATAATACTTTTTTAGCGAGACAGATTAAACATGTCACTTATGTTCATTCATTGGATTTAAAACTTTAATATGACTTTTAAAAATTCCTTTCATTACTAAATTTTGTGAAACAATTATATCTTTAGATTTCCAACTGTCAGCTTATTAATGTTTAATGTTATAGATTGAGTGTCAAATTAGCACAAAATCAATTAGTAAAATAAAAAAAAGAGAAGAGATTTCAAACAAATGTTTAAAAAATTTAACGGGATTGTAGTATGACAAATGATGATGACACTTTTTTAAGGACATACAGGCCTTGTTATCATCTAATGAAGTACGTGACATATTTTAAATTGCAGATGGAACTCCACTGAGGTCAAAATTATAACACATCCCCCCCCCACCCCTCCAAAAAAAAATTAAAATTAGAATAACAAAACACACTCAGAATTAAATTGAATATTGATTTTTTGAGTATAATTCTTTGCATAATTATATGCCTCAAAGTTGCATGCAGGAAATATTATGTTCACATATTATAAAAGAAAACTCCAAGATTTGGATGAAATGTTAATTGGGTATTATCTTATTATGCCAAGAACATTCAGCCTTTTTTACTTTATTCCAATCATAAATCTCAAATCATAAATCAAGAAGTTTAACGTATTGATCTTTAAAAGGGCAATTTTAAAAGCAAGGGCAATAATAGAGGAATCTCTGTCTCTGTTATGTTAAAATAACAAGGCTATTTAAAACAATGTAAACACAATCAATGGTAATATTATGGCCATTATGAATAAATTCATAACCCATTATTACCGTCTATATTTTGCTATCAATATCAGACCTGTACTCCATGTCTGAAGTGAAATTATCTATAATTGCCTTATATAGAGTACTTCAAACTCTTTGATATAATGAATATTTATCTTGTCTACAGTGTATTTATCAATTAAGAGTGCACAATAGTCTTCTCTGACAGACATAATATAGCCATACATCATGTCATTTTGTAATCATAGCCAAAAATAATATGAAAATATTTCCTTTAACATCATAAAATCCTTTTATAATATTACTTTGTTGTTTTAGTGTCATTAAACCATACTTGTCATTTTCATGACTATCAATTTTTATGGGACACCATGTCAACTATCCATGTGATTCAGCAAGATTGTGTGCTTCCCTCTCGAGCTTGGCTTTGTAGAGGATGGTATGACCTCACCAACTCCTCTCAAACGTCAGATGAGAGCGTCACACTATCTGCGTTGAAATATCTTTATTCATATTTACTGCTGTTCTAATTTGTAATTCTAACACGACCCGCATTTTTCCCTTTTGAACATAGATGGACCGATGCCGGAAATTTCATCTTGAATGGGGGGTGCCAGATGAGTTGTATGCTATACAATAGCATGCTTAGGATGACGAAATTTTGCTATTATGATTAAAGTTGTAATTTCATAATTTATGTTGAGGTAAGAAAATAGTTATGGGTGTAATGACAAATATATTTCCATGGAAAATTGTTTTATTGAGGTAAAATATGATGGAATTTTGGTAGAATATGCAAGAAAAAATATCTGACATGCTTTTGGTTTGGATCAGAATATCAGTCCCTCAGATAATTATGAACCGCAACAAATGACAGACATTTTTAGTAAACGTTGTCTACAGCTGCAGGAAATTCAGTAGAAACATTTGGAATAAAACTTATGTCTCCAGTATTAAGTGATGTGTAACTCAATCTGTCTGAAACAGGAAGTACCCTTCCAGACAGGAAGTTCTGTAATCTACAGAATGTCTCAAACACTTTGTTATTTATTGGTGGGTTAAAAGCATATTAGATGAAATCAAAATTTTGTTTTACTGTCACAATTCTATAAAACATACGTCATAGACAGGCTTCAGTGCCATTATTTATTTTAAAGCAGTATGTAAAACTAAGAAAATAGGATAGCTGGAATTTATTTGTCTGTTGCATGCACTTTATTTTTAATAGAACCAGAATACTTTGGTTGAATTTTAAAGTTTAAAGCATAAAAAGTTATTATCCTCATTTTCACCTAGGGAAGGGTATACATTTCTCTCCTCATAGTGTGTGTGTCTATTTATGTGTATTTTGGGATTTAATGAGGGTCTATTCTTTCTTTCAGGCATGAGTACAGTAAAAGACCACCACTAAATATCTCTTTTGCACTTGCAGGTACTTAAAAGGCATATAAGCAATCATCAGGATAGAATCAAAGACCTTACATAAAACAGAACTTGAAGTTTCCACACAAGGCAGAACTTGTAGTCAAGCACTACTTTGATTCTAACCTACACAATGCATGAGAGGAAGATCTTATAATCCTTTGGCCACACGAGCCCCATTTTTTAACCATAATTTTGGACTTCCAAAATTAATTTGGTTATCTTAAATTCCAAATCAAGTCATAATGTACCTAACTACTGTTTCAATAATTGTTACTAGTATATGTACTCTTATCTACTGAGACTGAAAGTTAAACAAGAGGGCCATGATGGCCCTGAGGTCGCTCACCTGTATATAGGCCCCCACCCCCACCCCTGGGCCAATTTTTACCCAAGGGCTTTTATTTGTTTATTTGAACAGACTTGGTAGACACCCATAAGAAGATGTTTCATGTAAAACATCTAAGTTCTAGCTCATTGGGTT